CCGGGGGATGAAGCGGGAGTCGGAGCTGGAGCTGCCGGTGCCCGGAGGGGGAGGAGACGGAGCCGAGCCCGGCCTGAGCAAGCGGCCGCGCACCGAGGAGGCGGCGGCCGAAGGCGGCGGGATGCAGGTGACCGCGCGGGACGGGGCACCCCGTTAGCGGGAGGGCGCGGCGTGGGGGTCTGGAGGGGAGGCCCGGGGCTCGCCGGCTTGGAAAGGCGGGCGGGCGCCCAGGGGTCGTGGATCGGAGGAGGGAGGGGGCCGGCCGGGGCCTGGTAGGGAGGAGGGTAGGTGGGGAGGGGGTCTGGGCTCGGGCTTGGCAGCGAGGGATGCAGGGGGGCTCCGAGGTGCCCAGAGGGTCCTGCTTCCAGAGAGGACCAGGAGGACAGAGCGCGTGAGTGTGTCTTTGGGGGACAATTGAACATGGTGGTTGAGATGGATTCCATTCCTCCCAACCTTTTTCTAGTTCCCGAGGGTGAAATGGAAGCTGGGGCGAGCTGGGGAGCCCTCGGTGTGTTTGCTAGAGGCGAGCGGCCGGGCTGGGGTGGAGGATGGGGGCTGCAGTGGTGGGAAAGGTCCCCGAGGGGGAGGAGGACCTTTCAGCCACCCCAGGGCACGCTCTGAGATAGGCAAGGTGAGCGGCGTTGGAAGCAGAGGAAGAAAAAAAGAAGCCAGGCAACTCCTCGAAAGGGGATGTATGTGGCTGCGATTGTGGGTTCAATCAGTTGTACAGGGAGGATGAGAAGTCCAGAGGAGTTTGCAGGGACACCGTGGCGCTGAGGCTCATTAACTTTTCTAGAGCATGCCAGTAAGTCCAAGAAGAGAGAGACTCCAGATGCCCAGGGAGCTGCGTTGTCAGTTGCATCCTTTTAACGACCTGGGTTTATAAAAGCAGAGTTAGATTAGACTAGGTTCTGAGTGGTGGAAGCAAAGATTGATAATTTGGGAGGGAATGAAGACACAGTGATGATAAGTGCCTTCCTAGTTAGTTAGTTGCAAGTTTCACATCTTCTGTTCAGGAAATACTTAATTGAAATGCAGGGCTCACTTTCTAGCAAATTGTTCAGAGAATCTCAATCAGAGAATGTTGGGGGGGTGGGGACCAGAGACAGCTTTTCTGGGGCCTCTTAGCTTGCGTGGACTTGGAAGATTCTTATGTGAAATAGTGTCTGTGCCTCACTTTTCTGAGGATGAGTCCAAAGCTTTTCAGTTCTCAAAAGTGTTTTTTTTTTTTTTAACTTTTTTATTTGTATTGGTTTGTTTACAAAGTTCATGATCTTACCCACCTGATTATATAGATGAGGAATCAGACCTCCAGAGATGGGTAGTAATTTTTCTAGACAGTCCAGGCTGTGAAACTAGAACCAGAAGCAGCAGCAGCAGCCTGGCAGTCTTAATTCCTATTCCTGTGATCTCTCCATTGCACCTCCCCTTGGAAATCTGTGCAAAGCTTAAAGACTTCCTGTGCTGTACTCCTTGCTTTTCAAGGCCCTACATGACTTCCTGTGTTGGAGACGGAGCTGTACTTGAGCCTGGCATGTTTGCAGTATGCTTTCTGGTCTGCATTGCAAAGGCCACTCTGTAATTTCTGTTGGTTTGAATAAAGTGACTCTCTTGTTTATTTGTGATTTCTTTGGTTTTGTTTGCCTGCCCTGTTCTCCTTTAGAACTTTGTCAGGCAAAGAGATGGGAGACTTAAACACCCAGGACCATGGGAAAAAATTTTGAGGAGTGTGGGTGAGCCATCAGGTGAGGTGAGTTAGCTGTGGATGGTAAAGAGGGAAGAGCAGAGGAGGGTGCTAGAGTGTGCGTGTTCCACTTGCTATGTCTGTATGTATTAATTTATTGTTTCTACCAGCTTCCTTTCCTTTCCTCCTGGGACCCATTATTTGCTGGCTGCCTTCAAATTGACTGAGGACAGTTGTATTTGGAAGTGGAGCTGTGTTTTGGGACTTAGGGGACAGGCAGAGGAAGGAGTGAATTAGATCCTTTGGGTATAGATGGGTGACTTAGAACTAGCCCATAGAGAATCTGCTTTTCACTGTGTGTGTTCATGGATACTCTTTATTTTTCACCATGTACATTCCTGCTGTTATTTCCTTAATCTGTTTCACATATTCAGGTTTTTTGAAATTTTTTTAAAATTTTCTTTAATTTTTGTTATTTTTGTGTGAGTGTACCGTCAAATCAGATCTGACTGGTACAGGAGGAGATTGACCCTCCTTCCCCGGCAGAGCATCTGGTGGATTCGAACCGTGCGCCTCTGCGATTGACATATTCAGTTTATCATTGAATTGCTGACCTTGCCATATGGCTTTTGGGAGCTCAGTGGTTGTGTGTTACATGTTTCACTGCTTACCAAAAGGTCATTGGCTCAAGTCCACTAGCTGTTCCTCAAGAGAAAGAGATCTCCCACTTCGAAATGTACGTGTAGCCTCTAAAACCTGGTGGAAGGTTGCTGTGCATTGATTGACACATTGGAAGTGTATTTGGTTTTTGTTATTATTTTTGAAAAAAAATCTCATTTTTTTTGGCCCTTGATTTATAGTTATAAAACAGTGTTTATAGAGATTGATGTCTAAGTTGTCTACCAAAAAATAGTTAAAATTTCCTGTTGTTATGGTACATGGGGAGAGAAAATGAGTGAAAGGCTTTTTAATATCTAGTATGTGCGTGTTTGTGTTTGTAGGGGTGTGTGTGTATATATACTTAAGATTTGTTATTTCCATTCTAGAGGAATAGGAGTAGAGCTACCACAGGGTAGATGAGTGATGCAAGGGTTTGCATAATTTAGAGCCAGAGTGGCCTCTAAGTGCAGAAGTAGGTGGTTATTCTTACAGAAATGGCCAGAGGAGGCTTTATGGGAAGGTCGGAATTTAAGGTGTACTTGAGAGTAGAGAAGTCATCATGTGCAAACGGATGATAACTTAGCCTACAGCTCCAGGACTTTCTGACATCATTCTGATAATTACAGTGGAAGAATTAAGATACAGTCAGCTAATGTTTATTGAGCAGCTGCTGTATGCAAAGCCCAAGGGCTACAACAGTGAACAGAGTCCCTGCTCTGAAACTGACACTTTGAGGGAAGGAGACAGACAATAAAGAAATCAAGTATTATTAGGGAGGGAGAAGTGGTCAGAGAAGGCCTCTCTGGTAGGTGACCTTTGGATGAAGTGAGGGTTAAGGCTGAGAAACCGTGGGTGCAGAGGCATTGAGAAAGGAGTGTGCGTGGTGAGCTTGAGAAGAAGTCAGAAGGGAGTTGAGGAGGATGATCAGCCATGTAGAGATGCCTGTAAACAGGCTGCTTGCTGTCCAGGCGATTCTGACCTGTGGTGACCCCAGGTATATCAGAGTAGGACTTGTAGGGTTTTGCAAGGCCTGTGACCTATAGGAAATAGCCCATCTTCTGAGGTGTCTAGCAAGACTTGATCTGCCAATCTTTTGGTTTACTAGGAGGTCAAGTGCTTAACAGTTTATGCTGCTCAGGAGACCTGGAGGTGCCTATGTTGTTATTTGCTGTCAAGTTGACTCTGACACCTGGGGACCTAGTGCACTACGGAATAGAACTCTTCCTCAGGGTTTTCTTGGCTTAACATCTGCAGATCATCAGGTATTCTGTAGGTTAGTGCTTGAACACAAGCCCTTTGTACTATGGAGTGGCTTTAGAGATACCTGTAGGCCCTTTGTAAGTATTTTCCAATTGAATGACTTAAAAAAATCTTTGTATCGCTAACCTTTTTCAGTCTATGGCTTTGTCTGCATGCATGTGTTTTTAAATTACAGATTAACATGAGTGGAGTTTTTTGGAGGCTATGGCTTCGTCCTTGAAGCTGTACCAGATAGCTTTTTGTTGCTGTTAGGTGCTGTTGAGTTGATTTTGGGCTCTGTGACATGATAGGACTGCCCATAGTGTTTTTTGGTCTCTAATCTTTATAGGACCCTGTTGCCAGGTCTTCCACAGCACTGTTGGGTAGGTGTAATCACTGATCTTTTTTTTTAACTAATTTTAATGAACGTTTACAGAAACTCAGAGTTTCCATTCATTCATTGTTGCACTTTTCTCCCTTCCCACCCACTCCCACCCAATTTGCTCTTCTCTTTGAAAAGTAAAAGAAAAATTCTTCCATTGTTACGCAATTCCTCCCTCCAAGTCTACTCCACTGTGCAGCCTTCATTCTGGACTCCTGTCATGACAATAATACCTAATCATATATCACTTTTAAACAGTTCTCTCCCTCATCTGTTTCAGTGCATTATACATTATTTATCCCCTCTTTCTCAATATTCCCTCAACCCTGATGTCAATCCGTTTTACAACAGTGGCCCTATGCAATATTTGTCCTTTTGTGACTGAGATACTTAGCATAATGTCCTCCAGGGTCACCCATTTTGTAGAATATTTCATGAGTTCCTTATTTTTCTGTGCAGTATAGTATTCCATTGTGTGAATATACCATAGCTTCTCTATCCATTCATTTGTTGATGGGAATCACTGACCTTTTTGTTAACAACCAACCACATCTGAATTACTTCCCTGATTGTTTAGCTTACAGAAGACATACTCTGCTTATCTTCTGTTGTATTGGTGACCATTCCATATTGTCCTTTAATTGTTTTATTATTCTTGTTTTCCTAGTAAGACGGGCTGTATTTTCTTTGTACTTCTTCATACCTAACATTTTGTGATTCATGGTAAGTGTCCATTGCCTGTTAAATTGAAGTTGAAATTTGCATTTTACATGTAGTTAAGTATCAGAAAAATCCTGAAATTCAGTGAGGAGGATGTTACCACAACATTCCCTTAACCTCAGAACTCACTACTATTGAGTTAGTTCTGACTCATAGTAAGCTCTCCCTCAGGTTGTCAGGCTGTGAAATCTTTCTTCTGAGGAGCTTCTGATGGATTTGAACATGCAGCTCTTGGCTTAGCAGTGCATCTTGCTATGGACTGTGCTGTGAGAGCTCCTGATAGTCCCTGTTGTTGTTGTTGTTGTTATGTGCCATAGAGGCTGAACCAACTCTCACAGCTGACTCTCCAGCAGTTTTTAGAGGCAGTAGGTTGCAAGGGATGAGATTGCCCATCTTTTCCTCCAGTGAGCAGCTGGTGGATTTGAAGAGCCTTTGAATCTGC